GCCTCTACTTACGGCAGTAAGTAGAGGATAAGTTTTGATTAGCCAGTCAGGGAAACACTGTCGACAAGCTTATTTGCTACCTGATTCCCTACGACAGTCCGAAAGAGGATTCTCATCAAAAGTGAGCATTTTTCGGCTTCCTAACGAGCACGTGATCTCTGCCACTACTTTGTCGACAGTGCTTCACGTGACCAGTCAGCTTCCGTTCACAGTCCGTCCCATGCGCTCATGATTTAGTTAAGTATTCTCTAATGTTACTTTAGTCTCGGAATCAAATTATTTTCTGAGTTACATTAGACCATGTCCTGACAACCAGAGTGTTTCTATCCCGTTAAAAAAATCCTCCCTTTGAGTTTCCATAGTTCGGCACAAAGTTACTCACCAGTACGGAACACCATTAATTCACTGATCCGCCAAGCTGTGTAACCACGTAACAACCCCGATTTGATTGAAGGTTCTCTACACCACCAAATTTCAAATTGTTGCTAGGCCATGGGCAATCGAAATAATGATCTATTGCACCAACTGAGTGCGCATCTTTCATCTCTGAAGAGCTCAGATGATATATGATCTACTGAACGCATGAATTCAACTACTTTTTATTCGAGCATACCTTTATGCTACTCAATAAAAAAATCGATACCAAAACTAAAAGCCATCTATGATCGAGGGATGAAAATTTTGAGTGAATTTAAAACAATCAAGTTCACCTTTGTATTCGTTGTTGTTGGAATCGAAGCGGGACACAAAACTCTGCATAGAACGCATTTCTTATGTTTCCAAACAACAATGCTTCGCTTGGTGTGTGTTTTCTTCCAACTGGGAATGATATTGTTCATAGACATTTCGTATCCAGACTATAGACAATGGCATCAGTTACACTGATGAAACGTCTGCAAACAACCTATCTGGTTCAGTGCACACGAAAATACCATTATCCGCATCTCTAGCCACAATCATTCCACATGGTATTCAACACTTGTTCAGCGTTTGTCCTGTTGATTACCTGACGCGTTTGTCACCGCACGGGAACACTTAAAATGATTTCAGGCAAAGGAAGATTGCTGTGCCCCTAAATGTAATTTTCAACTTCGTGGTAGCATCCTTCCTCATGGGCTGTACTGTTCCTCTGTATTTTTCCTAGTCTAAAAGAAAACTATTTTGCAATAATTTGTAGATCTATAAAACTCCTATCCCGATGTATTGGTATAGGCAGAGAAGTTCTGGTTGATTTTATTGTGTTCCAACATATTGACGCCTGTGAAAGAATAGCCGACAGAATTTTGAGCAACGAAGATCACTGCTTGCAAAACAAACTTCCAAAATCTATATCAAACCCCCGTACCGGCTCTCATTATAGGCTGCTTCCTGCACGCGCCGTGGCATACAGAAACAGCATCCTCCCTTTTCTTGCTCGCTTTCTAGTAAATCAAGCACAAATTATTACAGGTTTGATTGAAAACCTCATGAATTAGTTTATTTATTCATTTTTTTTATCGGTCACTGTCTTCTTCCTGTATGCAGTTTATTATCGCTTTGAACTAATCTATTCAAACTCGGATGCCAGCCCCCTCAATTGCATTGTATTATCGTTAAAAAAATTCACTGAAAATTCACCCTTACTTGGACTTGACTTGACTCTGCCAAAACACACACGTACGCACTGCTGAGACATAATGAGACCACTAAAGCCGGCTCATTTTCAAAGACTATTGTGATGTGCAAGGCAGCCCGAATAAATAAGCAAATCCCGTTAACCGCTAGTTTAATTTTGTGACCGCTAGAAGTCACACCGATCGAACTATGAAAACGATTGACTGGAGCACTCGATGTATGGGTTTAGTACACATTCCGGATGGGCCACGTCTTTCACTTGCATTCATAGACAACCTGTCTTGGAGCGAAATGTACTACTCCAAGAAATGATCAATACAGGCCTCCGATAATTAACCGCCAATGACACTGAATTCAACGTTGCCAAATGCAAAGTTATTTTCATGTGGTACAAGACTCGTTTCTCCCTATGTTCTGAGGAACCAAATACTACCGCATGTCACTCATGAAAGGGATTTGGGAGTTATGGTGCAGGAGGACGTTGGATGTTCCACGCACTGTACCAGAGCATCATTCATGGCTCTAGAGCAAGTTAAACTACGCAAACGCTGAAGTATGGCATTTATGATTGAACCGCGACAATAAGGCTCTAAAACGTCCGCAACGGTTTGCAACAAAATTGGTATACAGGCTGTATCAAAAGACACTCCGAAAGACCGCAAATATTGGGACTTTATTCACCTCAATACCGCTAAATTTGGACGGAACTCACACATACCGTACCAACCCAACCACTCTCGCCGTTCTGTGTTGACTTTATCTCAAAATAATCCTCTCAGAGGACATCCATGGAAATTGAGGACCCAGATTGCTGACATTGCTCGTTTAAGGTCAGATTGTTTGGTGTATACAATTTTATTCTATTCCATGTAATGTGTGCTCCTATCGTTGAACTATCCAAATTGCAGCTTGATAAAGCATTGGAACTCTCAGAATTTCAACACCTGTGATAGTATTCATGCAGAGTATTAGTTTCTCTAGTATTTGTTCCAGTATTATTTTTTCTAATCGTAAAGTCGTCCAAAACATTATGTAAATCTCCTATGGGACATGATAAACTTTGACTTTGTTAAATTGCCCACAGTTAAACGTTCAACTTACTTTGCAATCAGGCTAACGCACTAAATGGTACAAAAGAGCTCTAAACACACAACAATCTGCGTCCTTCTGCACGACGTATTCAAAATAGTTGAGCACAAATGCCACGAGCCTTGATGATAACTTCAAACAAACGTACTTCGTCAAACTAGCGGTAAAGAAGCACGACCATCAATGTGGTGGACTGATTAGGACGACAAAATGAATGTTAAACCTTGCGGAGTAAACCAGATTCATCACGATTACCAAAAGAG